CACAGCGGGCGGCTCAGGCTTTGTTGTCTTTGTCATCGAAACTGCCTCTCACCATCACAGTGGGAAGCTGCCCCATGCACCGAAATCCTGTCGACCTAACCCCACAACTGATCATCTACTGATTTCCACTGACACAAGATTTTCTGGGTTCACCTTGCCGCGGGGCTAACAACATACACGAAATAACATGACGTACAAGTTGAAGCTTGTTGTCCATGGTGAGGGGCCTGTGACTAGGTGCAAATGGGCGGGGTTGCCTCTAGAATCTAGGACCGTGTGGCTCCCCTTCTTCCTGACATCCTCTTCATCCTCCTGCTGCTTCTGTCTCTGTGTCTGTTACTGCTATTACCCTAAAACCACCACCACTACTAGAACCACCATCGACATCATCATGCGGTTATCATCACCACCATCATCACCATCATCGTCACCATCATCGTCATGATCAACAATCACATAAAACTGAACAAGCTTTGGCCCCCTGCACGAGGCCATTCTTCTTGAGGATGCGCCTAAGCTGGGGGGGGGGCTGATCTGCACAACCTTGAGCTAATGTAGGGACGTAAAGAATTAGAATGAGGCTTTGGAGACGTCATAATGCTTCTTCAATCGAAAAATAAAAACGGGATTGCATTACTAGTCAGTCAGGTTTCCATTTGGGTTAGGGGGCGTAGCTCTTGGATTTTGCGGAGAGGTGTTCCTAAAAATTCCTTGAGGACCCTCAAAGGAACCTCAATCACAGCGCACAGCCCTGACCACTGAATATAACCCCTCGATAATCCCAGCTTCCATTTCATTATCCATTTTCTTTTCCATTTGATTCTCCATTATTGGGGCATTATAACCCCTATATAACCCCTATAGACCACTGGTAGAATCTTCCCTATATAACCCTACAATTCAGTAGCTTCCATTTTCTTTTCCATTATCCCTATATAACCCCAATATATACCCTATTATAACCCCTATATAACGGCTATATACCCCATTATAATATAGTAGTTTCCATTTTCTTTCCATTATCCCCATATAACTCCAATATATACCCTATTATCATCCCTATATAACCCCATTGTAGTAGTTTCCATTTTCTTTTCCATTATCCCCATATAATCCCAATATAACGATAACCCCTATATAACCCCATTATAGTAGAATCTTCCATCTGCATCCAAAGAGCCACTTGTCTTTGATCTGCATACCGTTCCTTCCCGGGTAGTCACTCATGCCCCTACACTAGGTTTAGGGTTTAGGGTTTAGGGCCTACACTACTGGAGAGAGACAGCCCCAAACGGGAATCACCTCGTGGCTGCGCGCAAGCTACAAGGCTCACTGCGCGCTCCCCAAAGAAGCCTACAGCAAGTCGCAGCAAGTACGAGAATCTTTGCTACAACCTTGCAGATGACTGGAGCCGGGTCCTGTGGCGCCTTAGACAGCTCGCATTTCTGCCATTGAATGCCGCTCACTGTTATCTACCTCTGTCACCTTGATCACGTTTTCTGAGATGAGCAGGCGAGAGCGAAAGCCACATACTCAATACTTGTCCTTTTGGTAGGGCGGTCCTCTTGTCATGCGAGTGACTGAGGCTGCAACAAGCCGCAGCACTTGGAGATCATGCTCCACTGCTTGCCTCAAAAGTTGGGGCAGCCTCTCGCAGCCGCGTCAGATTTGGATACTAGCACTCCTCGAGGCACATTTTCAGCCCCTGCTACAGACCCTTGCATCTTAAAACCCATCAAGATATCACAGCTTCACAGAGGCCATGCTTTCTCCAGGCCTCCAAACTCCAAAGTCCAAACTTCTGAGTGTCCGGCCATACTTCTTGAAACCTTCAAGCAAGCGCTGCCTCAGCCGTTCTCTATCATTCAGAATCGGATTTAATTATAGGGTATTACTAGTATTATAGGGTACATATTGGGGATTATAGGGGTTATATACGGATAATGGAAAAGAAAATGGCAGCTACTTAATAGTAGGATCCAGTCTACTGTGCAGCTTTCTCTCCAGTCTCAATGGCCAAGAGCATCGGGCATGTCGGTCATGGCAAGCTCTTCAGCCGCAAGAAAGCAATGGCTGAACCCGTTGGCGGCAACATGCTCAGGAGTCTCTGCATGTGGACCCTACATGAAATCTCTTAAGCACCAATGCGCATGGCGCACCACGACGAGACAGGTGTTGCCGCTAAAGAGGATCGGTCCGCGATTTCGCCAGCTCTGAAAGTCACTATCATGCGCAGGGGGCAGGGTAGAAAGAGAGAGCTTGGCACGACTTCAAGCTTCAGCCGAACATATACTCCCCCTTCTCTAAGTCTTCCCTGCACCCTTCTGTCAGGACGCAAGTGCCTTGTTTGCAGGCGTGGCTGTACCCCGCCCCCTGCAGATGCCTGCACAAAGGGCCTGAAAAGCATGCATCTTTGGCATGCAGACCTCAGGTTGAAATCGCGTCCAAGATGGCTATTCGTCTTGCGCGAGGCAACATTGAAGCATCCACGCTTACTACAAACTCAGGGCAATGGAAAGATTTAAAGTGCATGCGTCTACCTTTGAAACACACCTACAGAGCATGGTCCTCACAGGGGTTGTCTTGATGCTGCGGCTCCCACGCTTGGCTCTATTTCGAGACATAGCCATCTTAGTTGAAAACAAGACGTACCCTCCCAACAAAGATATCGAGAAATTGCACCAGGAGGGACGGACCTTAGAGATTGCGATCAGAAGCGGCAACTCATGTGTGAAACATCGGACATGTCTGTCCTTTGCTGTACTTGCATGCGCAGCAAGTCGATTAAAACGCAGATCTAACGCGCCTTCTGGCAGGCTCGGCAAGATTTTGCGAGGGACCATCTTTACTCTTCTGAAAAATAGTGGCCTTCCTTGGGGTCTTGGTAGCAAGCCTTTTGAACAGATCCCGTACCAAATTCGGTACAGTACCACGTCAAGTCAGCGTATCACAGGCTCCGCCCACGGGCCGCCAACTTCTGCAGGGACCTGGGGTCCAGGGTTTCAGCCCATAGGGTTAAGGGTGACAATCAAAAACAAGGCAGATTTATGACAACGTGAACTGCACAATAATACCCAGCACTGCATCGGGATATAACGGCTGGAGTCATATAACCCATGCTAGTAGTCTCCATGTTCTTTTCCATTGTCCGATGTTGTCCCAAGATCATATAATCCCTACTATAGTACCCCTATATAACCCCATATAGAACCCCTGTTCAGAATGCAGAGACGACTGCTTTTCAGACAGTCTATGTCAGGCATCGGCCAGATCCCATAGCGAAGGGTCCAGCTGCGTAATGTTGGGGTCGCCACCTGGGCCAGCTGTGTTGGACCTTAAGTAGATAGAATATATGGCCTAGAGTCCCCCTTAGGTTGCTAGAATATGGGCTGTATTTGGATTGTACTATGGGTTTAGGGTTTAGGATTGGGATCGTGGCCAATTTGCAGGCTAAAGGTGATGCCTGACCCTGTGCTCTTTGACATAGGGGCTGATTCTTCTGGACTGTCAGAATAAGGGCTTGAGGCTTCCATGGAAGATTTTTGTCATGATGCCAGCGTTGAAGTTTACAGTCGGGATGTCTGGGTCGAGTCTACTACGCCGAATCTCACATGTCCTTGCTTGTTTTGGGCATGAACCAGGCAGGTTGCCAGCCAACACACAAGGTCGCAGGAACCCCTTATTTGGGAAACTTCTGCCATTGTTGGTGCCACGATGGCCCCTACCTGCTGGTTCGCATCATCCCCCCAACAGATACTAGAAAAGGGAGAGCATGATTTACTGGGCATTGAAGATTGGCGGGACTTGTCCACACATCGACCGTAGGTCCCTGACACCCTCCACCTTCTTTCCATGACCTCCCTTGCACTCCCCATGCATTTCCCAATAGATCTCAAAAATGCTCTGAAGAGCCCGATTCGAATATCCCGCAATCCCATGACTCGAAATGGCACCAAGCTGAGCCCCAAGCAGGTTGAGTTGGCGGGAGCTGCAATGTCCGTCGAGCGAACAATGTAGCTGTAGCCCTCCAACAATGACTAACGTAGCCATAGAAACAAGAAGCTTGTTAATCACAAGAGGGGCATAATGAATGTTTTGGAGAAGCGTAACAGCCACAATCCCAATCTGCGGATCTGCTTGCACAACAGCTCAGATCGCTTTTGGCAGCTAAGGCGCACACAGACACGAAGACCAAGTTCAAAAGGATAACCCCGAGGCAAATACTCTCAACCGTTGTCAAGAGAAACGTGCCTGTTGCTCGAAATCACAACATTCAATTCCCTGCTTTGCTCTGCCTCCGCCAAGTAGATCATCTGCTCAGCCTCCTCCTGTTAGGAAACCCCTGACAAGCGTCCTTGCTACGACTAGCATTCTTGACACATTTGCAGGCACAACGGTTCTTGGTACGAGTACGAACAGTAGGGCTAGCGCCAGCATGACGACTACGGTACCTTACAACTACTGCTACCACTACCACGACTTCGTCTTCTACTACTACGACTGTTGGTTGCTGCTACGACTACAACCACTTCTACAGCCACAGGCTACTGCTAGTGCTGCTACTACTACTCCTACTCCTCCTCCTCCTCCTCATAATAGGACTCTTCTCCTCCTCGTGCTCCTCCTCGAGCACCACACCTTGTATAAACACGCTAGCCAACCAGAAAGCTGATCAAGTGATCAGATTTCCAACTAGACCCTAATCCTGGTTCCATTGCACTACAAGCCCCACCTCCTCCCTCCAACTTCTTCTAGAGCAACAACATGCAAAATCTTTCCCAAATAAGCGCGACATTACCAGCGTCAGGACCACTGCTTGAGCACGCAGCCTCTGGCCCAAGCAGGCTTGGAACGAGGATGGTGTCGTTAAGCTCAAACTGCCCCTGTTCCGACACCTGGGGTGTGGGTTTTGGTTTTAGGGTTTAGGGTTGGTAGTAGCAGCAATGGTCGGATCTTGCGTGCCTCCACTAGCTACACACGCTATGCCTCGCAGCATGACATACGAAGATCGAGTGGGTTGCGAGGAGAAAGCAGCAATGTAACAATACTCTCCATCCTAGACAAACTTTGGGGCTTCCCAAAGTTAGGCATACTTTTAGGGGGCATCCCGATAATAAGGATCATAGTATTATGGGGTGTAGATTGGGGTCCACTTTTGTGGGGAAACTATCATTTGACCCTGGCTTCTCTTCTCGTGCTAAGACTTGCAGCTAAATCTGGGAAACTGGCAGGAGGAGGATAGCGGATGCCAGCGTTGTCAAGCTCCCTTGGCATCCAACAGACTGTCAGAACTGCACAGCAATGTCTAACACCAGCGCGAACTAGAGAATACTGGCTAAAATGAGGAATAACAAGCCATCCCGCTGATCGTAACCCCCCTCCACATACTGATGAATTCTCCTCACACAGAGTCACCTACTCCAGAAGGGAGCATGGGCATGTTGGCACCCCATGGTTTTGTAGGGCTCTTGGGCTTTTATCAGCCCACCATCCATCAGAAATAAATTTCAAGAGCACGCTGATCTTCAACAAGTTTCTGAAGACCCTTTGTGTTTAGATGTGCCACTATCCGATACTAGGATCCAACCATTCAATCCCGCGATCCAATGACCCAATGACCAATGTTAAGCAAGCCCCCTATCATCATTTGCAATACAAGCCGACTAGCTAATAATAAATACTTCGGTGGGGGGCTTTAATTACGGGAGTGGGAGGGGGAGAGACGTTATCATTAGGGGGAAGCGATTCACAAGATGCACCCAAAATTGTTGCTTCCAAGCGGCGGATAAGACTGTCTGGTCGGACCAATACCTCATGGAGCTGCCGCTTCCCATAGAGGTCATGAAGCAGTCATTGTCACTGGAGCCATAATTATAAGTGATGCAACAGCCGTGACCATTGAAACACATTATAGAAGCATATTCGCGAGCATGAATTTCGGTATGCCCCGTCACTCACGCTTCATGCGCTCAGTGTTCACAATGCGCGACCCCGAGCTCGTGCTACTGGGGCGATGGCCATACCGCTCCCCAAAGAAGCGGATGTAACCCACCTGAGCACGCAAAGGCTTCCGATTCACGGGTGCAAGAGAGCCAGCAGCGTTCAGTGATCCGCTCATGGGGCCCACTAAGCAGGACTGATCATCTTGAGAGTTCTTAGGCAGAACCAGGCTCTTAATGCGATATGTAACATAAAAGGTACGATCAAGGGTAACAATCAGCCAGATAACAATCAGATCTACAGCATCAAAGCAACATAACAATGACAAAGGTCAAAGTAGGAGGAAGATAAGGAGGAGTGCCGTATTCCAAAATCTTGCCGAAGGGCCAAGCCCTCACTGAAGATCTACTCTTGCCTCACTCTGAGCTGACAGCACTTCAAAACCCGAACTAAACAACTTCAACTTCACCGCAGTCTCATCCAACCGCGCCACTAGGTTTCCCGCCCAAATCATCACACCGCGCCGGTAATGACGGCTGCGTAAAATGCCGGTGGCATTCTTGTAGCCTTGGTAGCACCGAGCGTCCCACCATCCATCTCACCATCATACCAGCATTTGCATTCCTCGGACTCATACCGACAATAAAACAACGATGACTACAGCGAGATGTGGGTACTGTTGATCACCAGCTAGGAAACCCAGTAGAAGTTCAAACATGGATACACGGTCAAGGCATGTCAAAGCAATGATAGACAACTGGCCCAATCCAGACTTTCAGGCTGCGGCCACCAGCATAGCCGATGCTGGAGTTGAAGTAAAAATAATTGCCGAATTGGTGCGCCCCACCTGTCCACTGAAAACCACTGCTGGTCTAACAACCCGTAGGTGTAGCATGGCTGTTCATT